ATCTATCTATCTATCTATCTATCTATCTATCTATCTATCTATCTATCTATAATATCTACCTATCCATCCATCCATTCATCCATCTATAAAAGCAAAATGCCATTCACGCATCATCACAAAATCTCCAGAACTGTAAAGCCTACAAAATTGAAATTTGGCACCTATGTTCCTCTTGGCTTCTAGGGGCTCACTAAGAAAGGATTTTTCGAAATGACTATCAGAACATTTAGAGTATTTCCTATATTGTTGTTATTATTAACACGCTCTGATGCTAAGGAGTTCTAGTCCCCCTCCCCACCTGAAAAGAAATCTCTTCCAAATGCAAAACACAAGCAGAGGAGAGGAGTCTTAGTTTGAGTTTCAGTTTCAGAGCACCAAGCAGCTTTAGTCCAGAACTGTTGAGGTAAGTCGCGCCCAGGCTCCTTGATCCAAGTTCAGACGCTTGGCAAGTGATTCATATTTATGACAGTCGCAGCATCCTTGGATCCTATGATCCGCTTTTGTGACCTTCTGACAAGCAGAAATCATGGGCTCTCCATCACTGGAGGTTTTTAAGAAGAGACTAGACAGTCACTTGTCTGAGATTATATAGGTTCTCCTGCTTGAGCAGGGGGCTGGACTAGAAGACCTCCAAGGTCCCTTCCAGATTCTATTCTATTCTATTCTAACTATTCTATTCTAACTATTCTATTCTATTCTCTATTCTCTCTATTCTCTATTCTATTCTAACTATTCTATTCTATTCTATTCTATTCTATTCTATTCTATTCTATTCTATTCTATTCTATTCTATTCTAACTATTCTATTCTATTCTAACTATTCTATTCTACCTATTCTATTCTATTCTGATTATTATTCTCTTCTCTTCTATTGTCAATGGGATGCCAGGTTCACTTCACAAACGTGTTACTAACTTTAACAACTGCAGGGATTCACTTAACAGTGGCAAGAAAGGTCATAACATAGGGCAAAACTCACTTAGCAACATAAATTTTGGGCTCAGTTGTGGTTATAAGTTAAAGACCACCTGTTTACCCATTGGCCAAAGCAGTGCGTGGATAAGACCTCCATTTTTTTTTTAGCATCCTTTGCAACTATTTTTACGACTTAACATCCATTTTCTCTTTTTCCGCAGAGTTCTGCTCAGTCGTTGTCAGGAAAAGGTTATTCGGTAAGTCATTTTGCGCGGCTTCTATGTTTCTTCCGTTATTTCTTGGCTGGAAAAGAGTTGGACCATCTGTTGCATTTTCTCGGGCCCTGTCGCGAAGCAGAGTCCTAAAAATAGGTTTGGGAAGATAAATTCTCCCACTCATGTTTATTGCACCTCTCTTCAGAGGAGCGAATGTGAAGCATGCTCACTAAACGAGAGAAAACAGACAAGGAAACGGGTTTTTTTGCACCTTCCCACTCTGAAGTTGTCTTGTTGAACATATGTACGTTTTCTAGCATTGATCCTGAGCTCACGGATGGATGTAATATTATAGGATTCCTTGGATTTGAAGAAAGCGGACTATTTTGGATAGCGCATTGGATGCTTCAGTAGCACATTGTAGATCATCCTCATCTTCTTTTAATGAGCCCATAATCCCTTGCAGGGTGGAGTCTGGGCAACTGAATGGAGCTAGCAGAGTGTTTACTGGCCAGATGCCCTTCCTGTCACCGATGCGGAGTTTTGTTCAGCAGATAAATTCTCATAGTACCCAGAGAGAGAAATATCTGCCTCTACCTAGGATTGAACGCAACAGCCTCCTGATTGTGAGGTGAGAGCTCCACCTCTAGGCCACCCACACTACTCCTTCGGTAGCCCATTGTAGCACAATTCAGTAGCTCATTGTAGATGCTCTAGGTCTAATCTGAGAGTCGTAATCAGTTCAGGGAAAAAGTGTATACACGTAGCCCTCAACTTACAACAGTTCATTTAGTGGCCATTCAAAGTTACAATCTAACCATCTAACCATCATGAAGATGAGTCAGTTGCCAAGTGTCTGAATTCTGATCATGTGACCATGGGGATGCTGCCATGGTCGTAAGTGTGAAAAATGGTCATAAGTCACTTTTTTCAGTGGCGTTGTCACCGAACAGCCCCTAAATGAACTGAGGACTACCTGTACTAACCAGAACTTCTGGAAATGGTAGCTTAGCAACATTTTGGCTAGGTTAGTAGACAGCTTTGATTGGCTGTTGAAATCTACAAATTGGGTTTTAGAATAGAATAGAATAGAATAGAATAGAATAGAATAGAATAGAATAGAATAGAATAGAATAGAACTAAATGGAGAGGAGAGGAGAAGAGAAGAGAAAATAGAGAATAGAATAGAATTAGAATTAGAAGAAAAGAGAAAATAGAGAATAGAGAATAAAGAAAATAGAATAGAATAGAAATAAAAATAGAAATAGAATTAGAATTAGAATAAAGAATGGAATAGAAAATAGAACAGAACAGAACAGAATTCTTTATTGGCCAAGTGTGATTGGACACACAAGGAATTTATCTTTGGTGCATGTGCTCTCAGTGTACATAAAGAAAAAAATAAAATATATTCATCACAAATCATAAGAAACAACACTTAGTATAGTCATAGGTTACTATAAGCAATCAAATCATACTAGGGAACAAATAAAACAATATAAATTGTAAAGATACAACACAGTTATAGTCATAAGTGGGAAGAGATAGGTAATAGGAAGGATGAGAAGAATAATCGTAATACAGTCTTAGTAAATAGTTGGACAGTGTTGAGGGAATTATTTGTTTAGCAGAGTGATGGCGTTCGGGAAAAAACTCTTCTTGTGTATAGTTGTTCTGGTGTGCAGGGCTCTGTAGCATCGTTTTGAGGGTAGGAGTTGAAACAGTTTATGTCCGGGATGTGAGGGGGTCTGTAAAATATTTTCACAGCCCTCTTTTTGACTCGTGCAGGATACAGGTCCTCAACGGGAGGCAGGCTGGTTGCAGTTGTTTTGTCTGCAGTCCTAATTATCCTCTGAAGTCTGTGTCTGTCCTGTTGGGCTGCAGAGCCAAACTAGACCATTACTGAAGTGCAGATGACAGATTCAATCATTTTTGGCTTGCAGTGGAGCATCTCACTCAGTCCCACTATTTGTGAACTGTAAAGATCTGTGAGAAAAGACCCATTTATGGCTTCTTATCAGGTTTAATTATAGAGTCAAGTTTTTCTTACCTCGGAGTTCTGCTAACAAGTGGGGGTGGGGGAACAGATTTGGTTCTGGCTTTTATTCCTTAATGGGGGGGAAAAAAGGCGATTGCCACCACGGCTGGTACTAATAAATCACAGAGCAGACATTTTATCTGGTTGTCCCAAGCCTTTCCTTTTGATCAGCTCAACCAAATGAGCATGTGAGGCCAGGATTGTTTATCTCAAAGCTGCCAAAGTCCTGATATGTTTTTGGGTTTGTTTTAATTGCTGGGTCTTGCAGGGATCAAGGACCCAGCCCTGATTTCTGGAGACCTCCCAACGAGGGAGGATTTTGAGTTCCTGTGTCCTTAAACGGAGACTCTCTCCTCTCACTGACCTGGGGGAAATCGTTGTGCTGCGTGAGAAGAAAAACAGCGAGGAGATGTTCTGTTTTCACTGGATTTTGCTCACTTTGTGGCTGTTCCCCTGGCTTGGTAATACTTTGTACGGCTAGGTCAGGGGTGTCAAAACTTGATTTCATTGAGGGCCGCATCAGCGCTGTGTTTGACCAGGGTAGGCCTGGCCAGGTGGGCGTAGTCAGAGTAGGCGCGCCCAGCTCGACGTCACTCGTGTTGGGGCCACCTGTGATGACCAAGTGCTAAGGCAGGACTTCCCTCAGACCCTGTCAGGATTCTGGCAGTTACCCCAATTAAATCATGAGTCTCAAGCCAAACTTCAAAAGGATTTACTGGGAGTTAACGTGTCCGGCACTGCTCGGGTGTAGCCAAGTCTGAGACACATCATTCATTGTCACCCTTGACCCTGGTTTTTCCCCCACCCCTCTGGGTTTATCGTAATTCCTATTCTCCAATCGGACACCTCCATAGCCAAGAGTCATCGATTGTGCTCTCCAGTTAGAATTTTGCATGGCAGAAACTTCAGTCACCTAGTTACTATCTTTGAAAACATTTGTGGAATGCACTTTCAATTTCCAAGCTGCCCCACTACTCCCCCCTCCCTTTCTGTTGGCAACTCTAAAAAGACCGTAGAAATATTTTATGAGTTGACACTCTCATTATAATATTCCTTCCTTCCTTCCTTCCTTCCTTCCTTCCTTCCTTCCTTCCTTCCTTCCTTCCTTCCTTCCTTCCTTCCTTCCTTCCTTTCCTTTCCTTTCCTTTCCTTTCCTTTCCTTCCTTCCTTCCTTTCTTCCTTCCTTCCTTCCTTCCTCCCCTTTCTTTCTTTCTTTCTTTCTTTCTTTCTTCCTTCCTTCCTTCCTTCCTTCCTTCCTTCCTTCCTTCCTTCCTT